AATGTTATTACCTAGCATGCCAATGTTTCTATGATATTACCTAATACGCAAACATTTCTAATAAATATTACCTAACATGCAAACGTTTTTAATGATATTACCTAAGATGCAAACTTTTCTAATGATATTACCTAACAGGCAAATGTTTCTATGATATTACCTAAGACACAAATTTTTCTAATGACATTACCTAACACGCACATGTTTTTAATGACATTACCTAACACGCACATGTTTCTAATGACATTACCTAAAACGCACATGTTTCTAATGACCTCGCCTAACACGCACATGTTTCTAATGACATTACCTAACACGCAAATGTTTCTAATGACCTTGTCTAACACGCAAATGTTTACGTATTTCCCCACCAGGGCATTTTACCCAAGTCGTCTGGAAGTCTACACGAGAGATGGGGATTGGCAAGGCCAAGGGTAACGATGGTAAAGTCATTGTCGTGGCCAACTACAGACCTCCCGGCAATCTGATGGGATCGTTTAATGAAAATGTATTTCCTACAGAATAAGATCTGAAATATTTCTGTAGGTTTTTTAACATACAATTTTATTCCAAATACCTTAATTTAGATGGGATTTTTTTTATAATAAAACGACAGCATAAATTAATAGCCTAAATTACGAACAGCTCGAGCTGTTACAGACCCCCCCCCCCTTTTCAATCTTAGAGAGCAGCGCTCCCACACACACAAACAAAACTTTCCTAGAAATGTTTCAAGATAACTCTGAAAAGAAGAAGTTAATATGAATATTTTAACATCGAATCTAAGTGAGAAGGATCTATATTCAATCAGTAGCCCAAAGTAGGACCTTGAATAAAGCGTTCATTTTTAATTTTTTTTTTAAAGTATAGTTCAATGTTAAGTATAAGTGTGACGAATCGAAGTTTGGAAGGGCGTGAAAGAAATTTAGTATGTCTTATTTATTGGACGAATAAAAGAGTTATCTACATCACAGTAAATGTTGTCTTTTCTTTCAATATGTTGTTCAAGTTTGATTCAAATAGCGTGGAGAAGTTGTGGAGTCGCTAGTTTTCACTTTTTGAAGCTGCATATATAAATATATAAATGTCAATATACCCGGTAACTTGTCTCGGTAACTTGTCTCGTTAACATGTCTCGTTAACCTGTCCTAGTGACGTGTCTCGGTAACGTGTCTCGGTAACTTGTCTCGTTAACCTGTCCTAGTGACGTGTCTCGGTAACGTGTCTCGGTAACTTGTCTCGTTAACCTGTCCTAGTGACGTGTCTCGGTAACGTGTCTCGGTAACTTGTCTCGTTAACCTGTCCTAGTGACGTGTCTCGGTAACGTGTCTCGGTAACTTGTCTCGTTAACCTGTCCTAGTGACGTGTCTCGGTAACGTGTCTCGGTAACGTGCCTCGGTAATATGTCTCGGTAACGTGTCTCGGTAACCTGTCTCGTTAACCTGTCCTAGTGACGTGTCTTGGTAACGTGTCTCGGTAACGTGCCTCGGTAATATGTCTCGGTAACGTGTCTCGGTAACCTGTCTCGTTAACCTGTCCTAGTGACGTGTCTTGGTAACGTGTCTCGGTAACGTGCCTCGGTAATATGTCTCGGTAACTTGTCTTGGTAATTTGCCTCGCTAACGTGTCTCGGTAACGTGTCTCGGTAACTTGTCTTGGTAATTTGCCTCGCTAACGTGTCTCGGTAACTTGTCTCGGTAACTTGTCTAGGTAACTTGTCTCGGTAACTTATCTCGGTAACTTGTCTCGGTAACCTGTCTCGCAAACGTGTCTCGGTAACTTGTCTCGGTAACTTGTCTTGGTAACTTGTTTCGGTAACTTGTCTCGGTAACTTGTCTCGGTAACTTGTGTCGCAAACTTGTCTCGCAAACGTGTCTCGGTAACTTGTCTCGCTAACGTGTCCTAGTGACAAGCCTCGGTAACTTGTCTCGTTCATTTTGTCTGATTAGACGCGCAGGGTTCGACTCTTTCCACTATGACCGCTCCCCTCCATCAGGGAGTAGTGAGTTTGTGACGCCCGTGGCGGTCCATGATTTTGTCGCCTCACACTCAAGAAAACGACAATTCCAAGCATAGCGATTAAAATAAGCTCTATGGACATTATCGGGCCACAAGGAATTTGCTCCTGAGCGGATCAGCCCTCCTCTTACACACGTACCATCTGTGGTCTAACAGCCAGTGAATGGACTCGTTAGACAAGAAAGTCAGCCATTCTAGAGGATCTAATGATAAGCCTTAAGAACAAGATGTGAAGCCTTGAGAACAAGATGTGAAGCCCTGGGAGGGAGATACGCTTTGAGAACGAGATTATAAACCCTGAGAACGAGATGATAAGCATGGAGACGGAGGATGAAAGGATAAGCATGGAGGCGGAGGATGGGAGTATAACCATGGAGGCGGAGGATGAGATGATAAGAATGGAGGGGGAGGATGAGGGGATAAGCCTTGAGAAAGAACAACACTCGCGCACAGAAGAATGATGACAGCAGCTGACTTGACTTGAGGTCTGTCTTAGCAATTAAGTTACAGGTGCTGGCATAACTACAGACGGTGTAATGAAATGGTGAGTTCATTGGAGTTGCCAAGATTTGCGCTAAATAAAAAATATTAAAAAATCGGTAGCAAAACCAGGAAGCGAGCGCAATGTAATGCTTTGTTTGTGCTTGCGAGCGCAATATAGCGCTTTGTTTGTGTTTGCGAGCGCAATATAGCGCTTTGTTTGTGTTTGCGAGCGCAATGTAGCACTTTGGATTGCATCGTTTGTGTTTATACTTAGGGGTCTTGGTATGCCTATGTAAGGTTGTTTGGGTTTTTTTTAAGGCAGAAGATGCGCGAAACGAAGATCTTGCAACAAAAAAAAAATATATATGGAAGGTCAAATCTAACTAAGAGTCAAGATTCTCTTTGTCAATCAACAAATTAAAAAGTTTTTACACTTAAATTTTGTAATGCAGAATCAATTAAAAGGTTGTTAAAGGCTAAATATCATTTTTGTGGGAGTATAAATATGATTATTGTCAGTATAGCTGATAATTGTAGTATATTTTCTAATTGCTATCTTCCTATGGAGTAGTCAGAGGTTGCTCTTTCGTAACAATTGGGCATAGTAGCTGATTTATCATTTTTTATCTTGTGGAACTGATACACCAGACACGTCAGAATCATCCTCATCTAACCATTCAGCACTTAAAATAGAAGCATTGTCGGTGTTAGCAATAATTGCCAAAAGCTCTCCCTAACTCCTGGCAGCTACTGGCATTAGTAGCAATGACTTTTTCTTGGTTGGGGGGGGGGGGGGNTGTTTCTTGCCTAAAATAATGGTTGCTCCTTTTGTTTATTTTAAGACGATGAACAATGAATCCATTGTAGGATCCGTCTATTTAAAAGAGAACTTTCCTTGTTTGCATAAAAAGGATTATGGGGCGTCCATTAACTATGTCAACAAAGTAGAGGGGGGGGGGGATTTGGAAATGTTTAAAAATTATTGACAAGGGGGGGGGGGGCAGGGTGTTTAGATTAGTTGACGTCAAGAATCATGTTTTCTCTATTAAATTTTTAAGCTTAAAAATTGACTGGTAATTACATTATTTAGAAAAATTCAGTGAGATAAATAGTCATAGAATTTGTAGGCTTTTAACAATATAAGATTCATTTAATGTGTGTGTGTCTGTGCGGTGCAAATGGCTGGTCAGAATGTTAACACACACACACACACACACACACACACAAAATCAAAATCAAAAATAAAAACACGCACGCAAAAGAAAAGGCCTTCAACAAATAACAAATAAATAATTACTTTCAATATTTATTTAATTTTTTGGGTCTAAAGACTTGAGCTTTTCCAAAATAATGCCCTTTTAAAAAATAATAATATTTTTTTTTTGTTATTATTATTTGGGGAAGGGGTAATGTAATGACACACCGAAATTGTGCACATTTATATGTAGAAAGTCGTGTATTCTCATGGGTTGGACCCAAACATTTGTTGTGACTCGGGACCCATACTTTCCCGCAACATACTCACCCATATGCTCACTATAATATATGCTAAAGTGATAGCCCCAAAAATATCTGACAATGGTCAGTTGATTTGTGAAAAATTCCGGGTCATCAAAGTGCGGCTCAAGTAATGATTTATTTGTACGGTGTCTTAGCTTTAAAATTTAAACCAATCATTTTCTATATTCATAATTTCTGCCCTACTATAATGTTTTCCTTAGTGAGGTAAACACCATTCATTCCGATTCAATTAAAACAAAAATTAAAACAAGCTTCTTCACTGTGATTTCAACCGTAGGAAAGAATAGTTAATTTTATTTCATTAATTTAACCATGAGAATATGTTAGGGATAATATCTGAAGCCTATTGCCTTAAAAAATATTAATGACTTATCTGCGACTATCTAAGACTAAGACCAAGTCAAAGAAAAATGAAATGAAGAAGTGAAGTCTAAGACTAAGACTAATAATACTAATAAGTCGATCCGGTCCTAATTACTTTAAAGTAGTAGGTAGTATGCTATACAGTACCAGTACACACAGTAATATAAAAAATAATCTAGACTCAAATCAGGTTTCTTTTATCTTTATGGAAATATATCATTAACCAAATTTCATCATTTGGAATTTAGTTTTTAATTTTAAGCCATTAATTATTTATTATTAGAAATTAGTTGATTTAATTTTAGTCCTTTTCATCATTTCATTCATTTATGAGTAATATTATTATCATTATTAAATGAATTATTATTAGGTTAGTTAGTAATAGTTTAATTTTAACAGTAGTAGCAGGAATGAAGTGCATCCAATTAAACTTTGAAAGATATGTAGTCTAGTTTAATTCAATAATCAATATTAATATTATTATTTCCAGACCAGAAAATTGTTCTGATTTTATAGAAAAAGATATTTTATGATATTATCTTTGTCAAAATATGTCTGAAAGTTTCAAGGGGTTGTGGTGGTGTATTAATTGCCTAATTAATTCATCTCATCTCAGGATAAAAATGGTTTCCCTTCAACTCGGTTTTTAGATCATCTTAGTGCAATTATGCTGCAATAGATATGTGAATGTGAACAAATACAAGTACATGATAATTAGGGGCAGGACTGAAATCAGGTTAGGAAAAATAAAATGAGTGAAAAAAAGTATAGGAGAACCTGAAAAAATTAACGCAGCAAAACAGCGAATGTGTCAGCAGGAAGTGTTATTCAGCACAAACAACAATAAAAACAGAATTAAATAAAAATAGCACTTTGCTGAAAAGTATTATCTGAGAGAGCAGTAAAAGAATTGCCCTCTGGTTGGTTGTTTGTTTGTTATATTCCACAATTCTTTTCTCCCATACTTTGTTTCACTCATTTCCTTAATTAAAAGTACAGGAGGGTTTCCTTAGTTAGAGCTAACTAACTGGTCACAGTATTATATACTATTATACTAGTATTCATTTATAATACCACGATTTAAACTATATTCTTTTCTTTTATGGATTGGACAATAAAAAGGTAATTGCGTCAGACCTGTGGCATAGGAAGGGAGGTGCAGAGGGGGCAGTCTGCCCCAGGCATAACAATAACTAAAATCACTTTCAATTTTAAAGATATTCAATATTACTCCTTGCTAAATAATGTGCATCCTAAATAAATTAACACTTCATTTTACTTTTAGTTTTTTATGACGAAAAATGTTTTGATCGCTGCAAGAGAAAATATTTTTTTCAGTGTTTTTCAACAAATTTGTGTAACTTATTTCTTTTATGGCTGTATATCATGATGCCATCTGTAGTTGCTACTTAAATTATATTAATGAAGTAACTATCAACTCTTCAAATTATTTTTAAAAAATTTTTTAAATTATTTTTGAGATTGTTATAGACTAGCTAACCAAAATTGGCAGATTTTGAAATTAAATTTCATTCCCAACATATAACTTTTATTTTATTTTTTTTTTTTGGTCAAAGCGTCTTGTAAACATTTACAATTAAAAATTAAATTTTCAGATTTTTCTTATGCTCTAACTGCCATCCAAGTGGTCCAAAATGTTGCAAAGCTAATGCATCATGTAATAAATTATTTTATTCCAGGTAGCAGATACAAAGGGCATTTCCCCATGAAGTTAATTTTGAATTATGGACTTTACATTTGATTTGAATAAATTTCTTAGAGATGAAATAACTCTGGTGGATAGCACTCTTCAACCTTGCAGACAAAATGGAGTTGACAGGTTGACCATTGTTTTTTTTTTTACTGCTTTATTTTAAATTTGAGGATGATTTTAGATGAGAAATTTTTTTTTTATTATGGTTATTCTCATATCTAAAATAATGAGAACTGTAATTTTTAAAAAAACCTCAATTGAAGTGTTATTGAACAATAACTTATCCAAACCCTTGATTTTTTTGTTAAAGATAGATTTAAGAAATGAGAATATTGTTCACTAAAAAATACTCTTTTGTTTCTTCTCAGACATAACTTTAGGCAGCTCCAAACAATGTTGTATGAAGTTGTGGACAAAATGGGAGCAGCATCAGCACAGGTTCACACAAAAACACTTGCCATGTATAGATTATTTATGAAGAGTTTATGCGTATAAAACAAACTAAATAACTTTTTGTTTTAAATATCTACCACAAGCTTTAATAACAGTTTTAATAGCTGAGAGTTTTTTAATTTCATTGCTCTTAAAATAAGGAGCGCTTTGTGAAGAATAATTAATAAATTTTATTTTAAATGGATATGTTTGTTTTTTGTTTTTTTCAAAACAACTTGTTTCTGTCAAGTTGATTACTATTTATATAAAAAATTGTTTTTAAATTCACCTTTTAAAAATGATAGATACTATTAATTTCCTTCTTAGGCCCAAAATCTTCATGGTCCCATCACAACTGGTAAGAAACTGGAATTTGCTGGTCACAGACTATACATTATGAAAGATGAAGAAAGCAACAGGTCAATACATCTTTTTTTAAACATTTCATTTTAGCTTTGAGAGAATTACAGACTTGAAATAAATTTTCATTTTAAAAACAACACCGAATTTTAGTGCTGTGTTATTGGTGTCTTTTTTGGGGGGGGAGGAGGGGGGGCGTTAGAATTTCCCATAAAGATTTAAATTGAGCGCTGGCTGTTTTTAAAGCTGTCCAAACAATGATTGCACCAGAAAATTGTCAAGTTATATAGAAAAATTGATTAATGAATGCATTCTTATCTATTGGACATCAAAATAAGATTTTCTAGCGCAAACAAGTAATTTTCCAGGTGCAGAAAATGTAACTACTTGAATCATTGTGACAGTTTAGTGGCCATTGGTCTATGGAATCAACTTTGATGAGTGTTGGTATGTAAATTATTACTGACACTTTGTATGTATTAAATGTTTTCAATCTACAGAGGACATGGCTCAACCGTCGGGATACTAAAAGTCGGACAGAAAAAGTTGTTTGTCTATGATAACGGTAAAGCTCAACATGAGCTGGAGCCACTTTGTGTTCTGGACTTTTATGTTCATGAATCACGTCAGCGAATGGGATGTGGGAAAAAACTATTTGATTATATGTTACAGGTAGATAAAGGTCTTTCATTTACTCTCCTCAAATGTGCTAAATTTTGAGTATCATTGAACTTGTTGCATTTTTTCACAGAAGAGTTTTATTCCTAGTATTCTAGTCAAATAATGTTGTTGTTTGTGTGTGTTGTGTGCAAAATGTTAAAACTATTTTTTTTTCCTTTTTGCATGCAAAATTAAATAAATCTGGTAACGTTCATAAAAAACATTCACCCTCTTTATTTCGCTTTATGCAAGCATTGTTTCATCTTCATGCCATCTTAACAAATTTTTTCCTTATCCTAAAAATGTGAAATTCTGCAAGAATTTTAATCTCATCAAGTTAATTTTCATCTTCCAAATTTGAACACAGGCCAGCCATGTAGTACAAATTGAAATGTAAAAATATATATCAAGGTTTCTATAGAATATAATAAAATAGTATGCACTGCATGTCATATCTCCTGAAAGATGATAACTGGGCATAGTTTTTGAAAATTTGAAGGTTCTAGAAAAAAGTGATCAGTTTTTTTTTAATTTTTCACTGTTAAATAACTCTTCACATAGCACTCTATAAATTTAAAAAATAATTAGAAATAAAATAAAATTGTTCAGTTGTTTTGGAAGAAAATATCTAGATTAAATAGTTTTGATTGAATGGAGCTGACCAATGTTGATTGAGACTTCTAAAGCTACCTAAGCAATGTGCATTACTAACTACAAATGTGATCGACATAAATTGTGACATCCTAGTATCCCACTCCTTGTGGATTTCATTATCTCATGTTACATGAATGGACATGAAATCATTTCCCCCATCTAATCCTCAGAGTGAGAGAATCCCGGTAAGACATTTGGCCATTGACCGGCCATCAGCCAAGTTTTTGTCATTCTTAAATAGACATTATGGCCTGGATGTAGTTATACCTCAAGTCAACAACTTTGTCATATTTGAGGGCTTTTTCAACAACAGATCAGGTGACCTTTTCTTTCTAATTTAATTAAATGTTGATGGCCATCATTCAGACATTGTGGGCAATGTTACAAATTGTCTTTGTAACACTCTGCTTGTTATAAAGCTGTTCTATTCATCTATGGTTCACTGTAATACTCAGATCAAGTTAGTCATAACTTTAACAGTTTATATAATTCATTAAATCTTGCATCCACTATTAAAAAATAAGTTCAGGCCACAGCTAATTTGGCAACATTATAAAATGAAAATTTTTTAAAATATATTATTTTATCTTAGTTAATGTGATAAAATTAAGTTAGTCCTTAAAATGTAATTTAACAGAAATTATATAACATTAGAATTTGTAACATTTCAAAAAATATTCCTAACATGGCTCATGAATTTTTATTTTAACAGACCTCAAAAATAACAGACGTGCACAAGCAGACGTACAAGGCAGACCATTCTCAGGTAGCTACAATCATGGAATAAATAATTAAAAACTGAGGGGATTTATTAGAAAAGTTTATAGTCTGGAAATTTTCAATGTAACGTATGGCTTAAAATGGAAAGGTACAGAAAAAGATTTTTCAAATGGGACTTTTTAAAATTTTGTATATGCCTTTGAATTTTAAAATTTACTTTTGAACACATTTAATTCCATATTGCTTAATAAAAGTAGTGAATAGAAAGGTGGCAGAAATTTTAGAGAGTAATAAAAAAAATAGAGAATCAATTTAGGGATAAGACTTGATGATTTAATCATCCATATGAATATGAAAAAACATAAATTAATATTGCACGAAATATAAATTCTTTATTTTGTTTTGTTTCTTCTCATATCAAGAATTTTTTGTTTAATTTCATAGTGAGTAACTACAAGGTATACCGGTAACATAAATTTTATACCACAATTTAAAAGTTCATATAATTTTTCTAAGACTTACTTTATTGTAGTTTATGTGAATTAAAGTGTGATATTATTTTCAGGTCCAAATAGACTTCGTCAAGGATCACCTTACAACTCCAATGTTTCCCAAGCCTACAGGCAAAGCCCTCTGCTGGAGCAAAGGGTGAAGGTATACATTTATTTTAGTTGATAGCTTGCTTTATTTCTAATATTAAATATAGTTGGGAATATGACAGTTAAATAGAACATGAAATATATTTTGTAGCCAGGCGACAAAATCTGACATAATGTATTGTTCCAAAACTTTGAGGTAAGTCTTGCATATGATTTATCTAGAGATTGTTTTAATTATTTTCTTTGAAACTAAATAATATAAATGCTTCCCTCACATTTTTATACGTTTTATCTGAGTTAAATTTAAATTCTGAGAAACTTTAACTACAAAATATTTAAATAAATCTGAAGCTGGTAAATTAAATTCTCAAGTCTGTCATATTGCTTTTGTGGTTCACATCACATGAAACAAAGCTAGAACGGCTAATTTTATTATATTTTTTTTATAAACTGTATGAAGCCTGTGCTAGAAGTTTCTCTCTAAAAATGTAGTCTCTTCTTTTCCTAAATTTTAAAAAATTGATTTGTGGAATAGCTTAAGTATTTAGTAAACCCTATATTTAAGAACTACTCTATTAGAATTTGTCTTAGAATTCGATTTTTTAAGCAAAATAATTATTTCAATTTTGTGATACAATTTCAATGCTTTAAATTATTTTACCCCTAGAACAATGATTACAATTGGGTAGTACCAGGAATTTCATCCAAGTCACAAAGGTAAAAATGTCAAATAAATTAACTTAAAAATCTGGAATATAACATCTTGATTTTATTTTGGTTCTGTATTAATTATTCAAAATATTTATTCTTAACTTTGAAAACAAAAGTAAATTGAATTGATTTTGAGTATTTGTGATAATTTTCAAATGACATTGAAAAAGTTTCTTTGTAAATATTAAAGCAATAAATTTTTTAAATTTAAATGTGACACTTTCAAAATATATGAGCTTAATTTTTTTATTTTTTACCTACTTGAAATAAATAAAATTGTAACTACCCAAGTTTTTGTTACAATAAAGCTCGTTTTGTCCATCTCTTCTTATTATCAAGAAGCAAGGAATCTCCAGCAATGGAGAAACATATGACAAACCTCCACTCAATGTTCTTTATTGTTTTTGAATTATGAATATTTTTACTAATATTTTTTAAAAACCCAATCATCCCAACAAAAACTGAAAGTCAACCATAATATGAAGCCTCTGTATAAAAATATTAAAATAACTATTTCTTGAATAGCCGCATGGGAGCGGGTCAAATGATGTACAGTCGTCATGGTATCCAGTCCATGAGTAACCTGCGTGGCTACACTCCTTCCCCTTCCTTCCATAAAGAATCTCCAGCCATCACCACTGGACCCAACTACCAACAGACGCAGTATGATCCAGCCTCTAATGACCCACAAAGACCTGGTCATTCATTGCCCCCGCCTCATCCAAATCAAAGAGTGCAGAGAAGTAACCAAAGGTCACAAAGAATAGAAACTCAGGAGGAATATCAAAAATTGTCTAACAGTAGAGTAACATCCCCCGCACCTGTAATTGACCCTCGCTACCCACAGGAAGTGCTTTTGCAGTCTATAGTCAACCAAAGAACTGATGGCCGGCCACCTAGTGGAAAATATAGCAAAATGAATGGTAGGCCAATTATGTGTTTACTTCAGATCAGCTGTAATTATCAAACATGAAATACATGTATCACAGGCCAACTACATATATCACACACCAACTACACATATCACATGCCAACTTCACATATCATACACCAGCTCTATGCGTCCATCACCAAATAATTTTTCAACAATAATTTACACTGCATTTTGATGGCCAGAAATCCACCAGACAATGACGTAACAACATATATCCTGTGACAATATCATGCCAAATACTTCAATGTATCCTGTGATTCTCTGGAGAATGAATGCGAACCAATTTATGAAATTCCATATTCTAAATCAGTGGTTGTCAAAGTGGGTGGTACTGCCCCCTGGGGGAATTTGAAGAGTCCAGGGGGACGCTCAAAGGCTTGGTAGATTTTAGTGGGGCATTAGGACTCCCTAAGGGGTCGCTGGGTAATCATATCAGAAATATGTTTTAATAAAAGTACAGATTTAAAGACAGATAATGTACTGTTTTGATTATTCCCATCAGAGAAGAATCAAGTATTTACATAATTATACTGTTTCTTCCACACACAAATAAGAGAGACAAGGCCATTGATATAACTTTCGAAAACATGTAACATGGACTATTAATTATCAGCCATACAATTATACTTAGCGAGGCCTTATTTTCAGACAACACTTAGCCTCAGTTCACGCGATCAAATTTCTTTCAAATTTTCTTTCATACATTTGATCCGATTTTTGTATGAAGCCTTATCACAACTTTCAAATTACTATTTGATCAAATTCTTATTTCTGTCCAAAAAAATAAATCACGTACAAAACAATGCGTTCATACAAAAATTTGAAGCTAATTTGAAAGGAATTTGATCATGTGAACTGACGCTTAATAATATTACAGGGACTTTACAAATGAGCCGAATATTGTCAAATATGATTTGAAATGCTTCTCATCAAAACACTGATAACATTGCATTGTTGATAGATGAATTAGGAAGTTCACAGAAAATTAGTGAAGAACTCATCTTATCAGCTATTTGTGAAGTCGAACACCATAGACAGACTACTGAGGACATGGAATATTATAAGTTGTGAAGAATAACTTAAGCCAACTGGGTTTATCTTTGACTGTGGGATGAGTTGAGTTATTATTATTATTACAGTGGTCTTTTATAGCACGGTACCCCAGCCTAGGGCTTGGCTCATCACATTGCCCATAAAAATCTTAGAAAACATTATCATGTCATTAAAAAAATTACATATATTTCTTTAATTAAAAAGCAGCTGTATAAAAACAAAAAATTAAAAAATATATTCACCCCGCCCACCCCAGAACTATTTACATGTCAAGCCACGGAAGGCACCCATCAGCATCGTTTATCAGGCGTAGGGGGGTGGGAATCAGTTGGGATAGTAGAGCTTGAAGAGATGTGTTTTGAGTGCAGTTTTGAAGGTCTGGATGGTTGGTATATTGCGGATGTGTGGGAGAGAATTGTTGTTTTGGGGCGCAGAAAGAGAAAGATATTTCCTGGTATTTTGAATGTGGAATAAGTTGACATGACTGTGGGATGAGTTGACATGACTGTGGAATGAGTTGACATGACTGTGGGATGCGTTGACATGACTGTGGAATGAGTTGACATGACTGTGGGATAAGTTGACTTTTGTCAGAAATAAAATGTTGGATATGGAGGGAGGTAACAATATGTAGCTTATTTTACAGCATGTCTTCAATGACAAGGCTCCACTTCAAAACAAACTATTGCTAAAGAAGGAACACCATCCCTGACATGCCACAAGTGACTGGCCATCACTGACTGGCCACAACTGACTGGCCATCACTGACTGGCAAAAACTGACTGGCCATCACTGACAGGCCACAACTGTTTGCTGTTGCTTATTCCAGGGGGCAGACAGTGTGCAGTGTCTTATTGCTCTTTGTACCATTCATCGCCAACATTTGGTTATGTAACAACTTCAGTGACCATTACTTCAGTGACCATTACTTCAGTGACCATTATTTCAGTGACCATTACTTCAGTGACCATTATTTCATTGACCATTACTTCAGTGACCATTACTTCAGTGGCCATTACTTCAGTGAGTTGAAGTCGGGCGCACACTAACAATGATGGACTATTTCCGAAGCTCTCTGTTGAGAACAATGCAGATTTTTCTGCTTTCACTATGATGTTCATCAGATTATCTCATGGTGGTGACTCAAACGTCATCACACAGTAAATTCCTTATGTTTCCAAACCTTGCCAAATTCAGGAAAATTGAAATTTTAATGGGAAATAGTTCAAACATTTAAAATCAGTTCTGCCTGCCTTATTTATTTATATTTTAAAATAACAACTCCATTCAAGTTAAAGATGATGTAGGGTACTCCTCACTCACACCAATCTAAAAGAACTTCTTATTTAAATGAGAAAAGTTCAATACCTTTTTGATCTGCTGCAGGTGTATCGGGATCCTTTGGATTCGCTACATAAAACATTCTGAAGGATTTAAAGATTTTCTTTTGATTGAAATCTCAGATTGAATGATAAATCCATGTTCACAGCATCCATTTGACAAAGTTGGTCCGGAGCCAAAAGAGATATCGACTTGAAGAAATGATTGCCAAAATGTTTGGTTGCCATTTGAATGTTTGAATGTTGCTACCGTGTCCTGCACCTTGTTGTGTTGTAATAACCTTCATGTTTCATTCTCAACACAGTCTTAGCTGCGGTTGTCCAGATTGGCTAAGAGCAAAAAAAATTGCACAGAAATTTAAACTAAGTTCGTGCAAAATTGTATGCCAAAAAAAAAGGGGGGGGGGGCGGTCAGGGCGAGTTTATGGCCCCGGGGGACTGCGGCCAAAAAAAAAAAATTATTAATTGTAAAATGTTTATCTGGGACTTGACTTGAAAAAGGTTTACATCATCAACCAATTTATTCAGTGAATCAAAGTTAGGATTAAAAATAACAAATAACCAAAAATTATTTTACTTGCCATTTTATTTGCTGACACATCCTCCATTTTACTTGCTCTTATTTAACAATAGAAATAAAGTCCAAACAAGTCACAAAACAAGGAATGAGATGTGTTGAAAGTTAAAATGGTTTCGTCAACAAATTACCTATGCAGTGTCGATCATAGCCTCTAAAACTCTAAATGATGTTGATTTCTATTCCAGACCCCTCTGAAAAAAAAGACAGACCGCCAGCTAACAGTCAGAACATGCTAAACATGCATCAATCTTATCAGGGCCGAAATGGTCACCTCTCACTCCCGCCAGTAGGGTAAGTGGTAATAATTTATGCTAAGCTTGACCTATTTGTTCAAGTAATTTTGATTCTCTGCAATTCCATTGTCTTGACACAAACCATTTTCAGTCAAATCTTGTCCAATGTCTCCATAAATGCCAGGCCAAATAACATTGGTAAAACCTAAACAACTCTTTAACTTTTTACAATGGTTCATTTACTGACCTTCTTTAAAAAAAAATAAAGTTTAAAATAATGTTTTTAAATCACATATCATCTGAAAATAAAACTGATCTCCTTTTATTAAGCTATGGGATTAATTAAGACAGTCGGGGAACAGAGAAGTTAAAGAAGTCCCAGTGATGTAGTTATGAACAGAGGAGTTAAAGAAGTCCCAGTGATGTAGTTATGAACAGAGGTGTGTTAAAGAAGTCCCAGTGATGTAGTTATGAACAGGGGGTGTGTTAAAGAAGTGCCATTGATGCAGTTACCAACTGTCAATGATCACATCTAATACTTTAGTGATCCAGCCTGTTGGCAACTTAATTCGAATATTTTTCCTCAACCTATTTTAATATTTCGAAAATTAATTTGGACTTACTTTTTTTACTAATTTGAACTGCTCTTGACAATGTAAATCTCAACACTCATTGTCCAAATTTGGCCATTGCAGAATAAGTTTCATATCCAAGATATCCCACTGACGGTAATAATATATTTGTTTTTAGCAGCACAAGTATACCTGGAACAGGGCCTACACCATCTGTACCAGCTTACACCACTCCGATTGTGTCCCCTTATCCTAACCAACAGTCAAACAATACCTCCTGGACAGTATCTGGTGTTTTGAGAAACCAAAGAGTTACAGCCCCTGACAGATATTACAGTTACTCAAATAGATTGTGGTAAAAAAAACTGCTCTGAAATATCATTTTAAAACGTCAGGACCAACTTCATATTATTATTTTTTTAATGAGTTACAGCAAAGAGAAATTCAAATGTTGTGAATATACATTGATTATAAGCATTTAAGGCTTTCCAATTGAATTTTTAAAAATTGGAAGGACTTTTGCAAAATGTACTTTTAATTTTATGATTGGTATTGATGCATGAGGAGCTTTATACATTTACTGGAAGAATATATTTAGTAATCTGAACAAATATTTTAAAAATTTAGGATTTTCAGTGGCAGCAACATCTCAAAATTTAGCTGTCCCAATTTCCAATGTTCTTAGAACTTAGGCCTAATATCACCACACATAAGATAACTTCTTGTCATTTTATTTAGCTACCAGATAAAATATTGTCCATGGCAAAAAGAAATTGCAAACATTCTTTCAAGAAGAAGCACTGAAAGTTCTTTCAAGAAGTAGCACTTAATGTTTTTTCAAGATGTAGCACTTAATGTTTTTTCAAGAAGTAGCACTTAGCGTACATTTATTATGGAGAGCTTCTATCTGTGCAAATTTATTGAGAGGCTATGGGCTGATCTTTAAAAATGTTTGTTTCCTTTAAAAACAGATTATTTAAATAGCTTCCTGGCCACAAAGAGGAAGTAAATGAAATTTATGTTAATGCATTTTTTGCTAGTGATGAAATTTTGCATAACTTTGTTACAATATAAACAGGTGATTCATATTGGAGTAGATGATTTCATTATCCTCCTAAATTGTTATCCAAATAGAAAGGCTTCATTCGCAGTGTAGCTGAATGCACAATACCTCTGAATACAAAAATGTGAAAGCATAATACATCTAAATACACAATACATCTGAATACAAAAATACATCTGAATACACAATACATCTAAATACACAATACATCTGAATCCACAATACATCTGAATTCAGAATACATCTGAATGCACAAATCTGAATAAATAAATCTGAAAACACAATACATCTAAATACACAATACATCTGAATACACAATACATCTGAATACACAATAACTTACCTCTTTGATAGAATGGAGATGCCTTGCATTGTTTCACTGTGATATTTCTTGTTGTTGTTAATTAAGTGTAAATATAACTATAATATGAATGAAATGCTGCCTTGTGACATAAACAATGAATTATATTTAAGGCCATCACAACAAATGGAATATTACTTTGAAAAAATGTTCCTTCATAAAAAAAAAATCTTTTAAACTGTTCATTGCATACTTGATCTGGTGCCTTTTCCGATTTAAACTAAAATCAATTTAACAATAATCTGTTATTATTATGTTGTTGTTTTTTAATTCTTCCATAATTTTGGTTCCTCATCCTCATGTCCCTTAGTCCTTGGACCATTGGGGCGCCACAGATGACATGTGAACCATCCTCCTCCATTCCTCTCTGTCTTCAGCACTATGCACTGCATCGCCCAGTGTTAGTCCTGTCAACTCTTTGATGTTATCCTCCCACCTTTTTCTTTGTCTTCCTCTTCTTCTCTCTCCTCTTGTGGTGCCCTGCAATATTTCTTTGGCAAGCCCTTATTTTCTTGTTACTTGACCGTACCATGGTAATTTGCGTTTTTTCAGTCACCAGTAGGTCATCGTAATCCCCAATTGCCTGACGCACCCTTTCTTTCACTGTATCATTGGAGATATGGTCCCTATAGCAGATGCCAAAAATACTTCTGAAGCATCTCATCTCCATCGCCTTTATTTTCCTTTCAAGATCAGCTGTTAATGTCCAGGATTCGCAGGCATACAGGAAAATGGAGAGGACTAATGAGCGCATCAGCCTGATTTTGGTGCTGGGGGCTATAGTTTCGTCATTCCATATTTTCTTGAGCTTTTTTAGTGCTGCTGTAGTCTGCGCAATCCTGGACATGAGTTCAGGCTTGGAGCCTTCTTCTGAGACTATTGCTCCTAGGTATTTGAAGCGGTCGACAGTCTCTAATCTTTCCTCCCCGACCCTAATTTCAGTGGTTATACCTGTGGCATATTTGTCATCAGTTTTGTCTTTTCAGCACTGATTAGCATGCCGTAGGACGACGAGGTCTTATCGAGACGCTTTACCTGGTTGGCTAGCTCTTCTTCGTTCCCAGCCAGCACGTCTATGTCGTCCGCAAAGCGTAGGTTGGTGATTGTTCTGCCACCAATGCTGACTGTCCCTTCATACGCTTCCAGAGCATCTGACTGAATACTCTCTAGGAAGATGATGAATAGGGGGGGGGGAGCAGGCAGCCTTGTCGTACTACAATCGTGGTCTTGAACCATTCTCCGATGTTGTTGTTGAGGAAGACTGCACTGGTGGCCTTATCATAGAGGTTGCATATCATGCTGGTTAGGTTTGTGTTGATGTTGTAGTGCCTCATGCATGGTGGCCCATAAAGCAGCATACCGAACCCTGTCAAATGCTTTCTTGAAGTCAACAAAGACGTGGTATAGATTTTGTTGGTGTTGAGCATATTTCTAACATAGTATTCGGAGGTTTAGAATCTGCTCAGTAGTGCCCCGTCCTTGTCTGAAGCCCGCCTGTTCTTCACCAATGATTCTGTTGGCATATGGTCTTAGTCGGTTCAATATGATCTTCAGCATGACCTTGCTTGGATGGCTTATTAGGCTAATTGTGCGATAGTTTTGGCATAGCTGTAGGTTATCTTTTTGGGGAGGGTGATGATGAGCGATTGGGTCCATGATTTGGGCCATTCCCCGTCTGCCATATTTTGTTACAAATATTGAATAGGGCACTTATCATTGCTTCTCCTCCTTGTTTCACCAACTCGGCAGGGATATTATCCACTCCTACGGCCTTTCCTGTTTGGAGTGCCTGGACTGCTGCTTCTACTTCTGCGCGGAGAAAAGGTTAGTTATCATTGGCTGTTGCTGGAGAGACATAAAGGATCTCTGGGTCTATCTTTATACTTTCATTATACAGTGCCTAACACTATTCAGTCCATCGTTTAATGATATCATTTTCCTCGGTTAAACATTTACCATTTTTATCCTGTATGGTAGTACTACGCCCTTGTTTTACAAGGGTTAGTTCTTTCACCAACTGGTAAGCTTTTTTGCTATTGTTTTTCTTCAAGCAGTTTTCAATGTCGTAGCATTGCTCTTCAATCCAGTTCTTCTTTGCCCTTCTCATACCTTTTTTGATGGCTTGATTATTGGTTCCTCATCCTCATGTCCCTTAGTCCTTGGACCGTTGGGACACTTTTGGTTCAGGCCACTAAAAACTCCGTACACTCCCGTGTTAATATCAAACATTTTGTTTCATTTATCGCTGTACGGAAGCCACGTCAAAATTTCATAAAATTAAAGAGCTTCAATTTCTGTGTAGAGTTTTATCAAGCATTTATTATTTGTTAAACTCAATTAATGGTACTTACTCTATGAGAAAATAATTCTTAGGAGATGTGATTAGTAGTAAATAAATAAGCAAGTTGGAAAAAAATTATATTATTATTTATTTTTATTTTTTTTAGATTTTAAATAATAATTGTGAGACTTTCTTAAAATGAGCTTTAAAAGTGATTGAAAAATATCCAAGATGTCTAAATGCTGAACTGCCCTCATTTTTAATGCGCAACATTAAACAACCCTTAAAAACAAATGTTTTCCTATAAATCCTTTTTATGCATTTTTGTTTGCATTTATGTCATTGTACATAAACTATCATTTATTAAGAGGCGTTTATGTAAATGGGTAAACTTCTGGCAAAAACACGTTTCATATTTCCTTCATTTTCTTGTTCAAAAATATATTTTATTTTTACTGCATACCCAAATACGTGAAAAATACAAAGCACATACAGAAGCTACACAATTAATCTCCACACCAAACCACGCAACCATTAGACAAATCATTAACATTCCTGCCCTTTTTGAAAAACAGAAGAAACAGATTTTATGGGGTGGGACAGGACTGAAAATTTGATAAAATATGTTGTCATCAGCAACGAGTCTTTGTGCCAAGTTTCAGCTCGATAGGATGACGGGAATGGTGCCAATTAGCCTTCCGAAGATTTTGCCACACAGAAACACGCGAACAAAGAGAGACGTCATTGGGTTAAAACCAGTGAAAGACTATGCTCCATTAGGAAACGAGGAAACAAATCACGTTATTCTGCGCACATGCTACCAATGGAAGATACAGATGAAAGCACTAAGGAAACATTCTATGAAACACTCGAAAGAATATTTGATGAGGCATCACGCAATGATACCAAAATAGTTCATAGTGATTTCAACGCGAAAATCGGGAAATAACTCTGCTTACAGACCAACAATCGGAAAGGAAAGTCTGCATGATGAGAGCAATGACAACGGAACACGTCATATAGACTTCGCTACAGGAAAAGGAACGACAATCAGTAGCACAGTATTCCAACACAAACAAATACATAAAGCTACATGGATATCTCCAGATGGATTTACCAGTGATCAAATTGACCACATACTCATTGACCGGAGGCATGGCTTTGACATATGAGATGCACAAAGCTGTAGAGGGGCAGACATAGACTCAGACCACATACTTGTAAACATACTTGTAAGAATCAAACAGACAAAGAATTTGTAACATCCACAATAAACAAACTGACAGAGAAAAAAACAGTACTACAGCCATAAATTAAGCAGGCACCTACAAACTGCTGAGGCATATCAACAGAAGATTCAAACGTAACTAGAGTTATCCAAAAGGGTGAAAAGCCAACCACCAAGTCAACGTAAAAGAGCAATGGGAAAAACATGAAGCAAATAGTGTGACAGAGAAACAACGGGGCTTAGATGGTGAAAAGTACAGGATGGTATGACGCAGAATGCAGAGAACTTATAGACGAACGTATCACGGCTCGGCGTATCATGCTTCAAAGGGGGAAACAAAGAAGAACAGGACAAATATGGAATGAAACAAGAAGGGTGGCTACCAAAACTTGTAAAAAGAAAAACTTGATAGTGAATAATTTAAACAACCTCTAAAAACAAAGTTTTCCCAATAAATCCTTTATAAAATGTAATAACGAGCAATGGAGGTTAGGGCTGAAAATTTGACACGCAACGCACTTTATAAGAATCCCAGTTTGTGCTTCTCCTCTCCCCCCCCCCCCCCTCAAAACCCACAAACGCCATTTTTTTCCCCCCCCCCCCACCCGTTTTAATATCCTCATGACCCCCCCACCCCCCGCAGATTTATTTTACCTTTTCAGACAAACAAAAGAAAAAAATAATTTAAACAACCTCTAAAAACAAAGCTTTCCCAATAAATCCTTTAAAAAATGTAATAACGAGCAATGGAGGTTAGGGCTGAAAATTTGACACGCAACGCACTTTAGAAGAATCCCAGTTTGTGCTTCTCCTCTCCCCCCCCCCCTCCTCAAAACTCACAAACGCCATTTTTTTCCCACGCCCCTGAACTGTATTAATATCCTCATGACCCACCCACTCCCCGCAGATTTATTTTACCTTTTCAGACAAACAAAAGAAAATATTACGCACCAAGCCCACATGCGATACATTTTTTTTAAGAATCTCATTTAAGGCAGTTATCAGGAATATTTATTTCGTGAAATCAGTGTCATCATATTTCGTTTATCTTCCCCTTGAAAAACAGAGAAAAAAAAAATTTTTTGGTGGTTTGGGTTAGTGGGTGGGTATAATAATTTGACAGAATGTGTTGCCGTCGGCATCGAATCTATGTGCCAAGTTTCAGCTCGATGGGTTGTCAGGAAGGGGGTCAATTAGCCGTCCGAAGATTTTGCCAACTAGCCAGCCACGAAAAAAAAAAAAAAAAGCGAAGTTAATATAATAAAAAGGATTTTAAAACATGAATTAAACAACGGCTAAAACAAAGTTTTAATCTTTTGTAAAAATATCAAATCGAGCCACGGAGGTTGGGGCCATGGGCTCCCGCAGGTAGTGGCAAGGTGGGGCACTTGCCCCCCCCCCCTGGATTGATTGGATAAAAAAA